GCCTTGCGGTGTCATAGTTAGTTGCTCTTCAACCCTTGATGGTTCATTTTGTGGGTTCATTTTGTGGGTTCAACCCTGGCTGACCTGTGACTTGCTGCCCTTGAGTAGAAATCTGCCTGCCTCTGCCTCCTGAGTACTGGGATTAAAGAAAGGAGCTTTAATTAATGCTCAGCTTTTTTTTCTTTTTAATGCCCGTAATCTCAACACTGAAGAGGCTGAGGCAGGAAGGTTGCCATGAGTTGAAGGTCAGTCTGGATCCCTCAGTTATTATCCCTACCGTCCTGAGGTTCTGTAAGATCAAATCTACAGCAGGGGATAGAGTTCGCTACCTGACATGAGCAAAACCCTTGATTGAATTTTCAGCACCACATAAAATTTATATACTCCACAGATAATTGTCTCCATACGGTCCAGCAATTGTTCTATCTCTAGACAATTACTAACAGTAGCTTTTCCAAACTTTTGCCTCTTCTGCTTTCCATACGCCAAAGGCCTCCATTTTCATAGAGAAAAAAACCGCAACAAGAAAGGCCCTTACTATCTGCACATTTTCTCATCCTTGGCGTCCCTACATTCTCCCTTCAGAGGTATGTGTGCTTCTTGCTGCCTACGATAAACAACCTGCTTCAAGGCCCAGGTCAAAGGTGTCTGCAAAGTGTGTCTTTTGTAAGCTGAAAATGTCGGTACACACCTATACTCTCAGAATTCAAGAGGCTGGGTCAAGTCACTTGCCATGAGGCCAGCTTGGTCTGGATCGCAAGACCCTCTTACAAATAATTAAAATAATGAAATGTCCTTTTGCTACCCCTAAAATAGAATTGTTGCTAATTTCTTAGCATGCCCTAACTCACTGAACTGATATTAAGTCCATTAATATAATAATTATATCACTATATTAAACATTAATATTGATATTATTTTAATAACATTGATATATAGTAATTGATATTCTCAATACAATATTACACTCAAGGGACATTAACACTGGCCATTCAGTCTCAAAGGAGTGCATGACCTACCATCTTAATGTTATAAAGCTCTTCTGTTGTCTTTTCCTTACCATCTAAACAGACAGTGTAGTTATTTTTGGCATTTTTAATAAAGGGCCTGAGAATGAGCAGCATTGAAAAGTCATTTTCCACCAGGTGGTGGTAGTGCTAGAACTTAGAAGGCAGAGGCAGGCCATTCTCTGTGAGTTCCAGACCAGCCTAGAGCTAGTCCTAGGACAGCCAAGAGAAACCCTGTCTCAAAAAAAGTCAAGGAAAACCATTTTCTCAACACAAACTGTAAAGAGTTTTCTTAGGTGCTGGAAATTGTGAGGTTCAGGAGGGAGAGATGTTGATGAGAGAGGCTCAAGGACTCCTGTAGTATGAGAAAGAAATAAAAAAGGAAGGGAATTTTTTCATGTGTACTTACAGCAGCTGGAGAAATGGCTCAGCAGTTAAGAGCACTGGCTGCTCTTGCAAAGGACCTGGTTCAGTTCCTTTGCACAACTATCTGTAACTCCAGTTCTGGGCGATCCAATGCCCCCTACTGACCACTACACAGAACTAGTCATGTAAGTGGTGCACATGCATGCATGCACACAGACAAAACACTCATATAATAAATGAAAAATAAAGTGTACTTAGAGTTAAAAATGCATTCAAAGAACTTGCTAGTATTTAAACAGCAGGAAAAGTCATCTGAGTGCAAACCACTCCAAGATCCTAGGTGCTAGCTTTCAAAGATCTGCTACAGTCAGTCACTGCACTAGAGGGCAGAGGTGTAAGAGAACGAGGGGAAGGAGGCGAGGAGGGAGGGAGGCGGGGAAGAACAGGACCTGGGATCTTCTTAGGGCAGGCAGGAGATAGTCCCCAGAGGTGGTGACATTGGAAAAGCCGAGACCTTGATAGCTGTGTGCCAAGTGTGACTGACAAGGTGAGGGAGGGAATTCTAGGCATAGAGCAACAGGTAAACAGTGCATCCCGGCCTGAACACACACACAGCATTCCACAGGACAACACCAGGAAGTGTCCAGTCCTCTAAAGTGTTACGGTCCTAGTAATAAGGAATTCTGCCCAGGTCAGCAGAAGAAGGCCATAAAGTACCTAACAGGCTAGGCTGTGGTATTGGCTCTTGAACCCTCTCCTCTAAGCACTGGAGAGGTGTAGAAGCATTTGAGTAAAAGAGTATAACAAAATCTCCAATCAGGCAATAAACAAAAAAGGCATGGTAGCACATGTAGCGGTCCCAGCACTCAAAAGACACAGGCAAATCTGTGAATTCAGGCCAGTCAGAGCTACATAATGAAACCCTATCTCAAATAAGACAGAAAAAAAAAAAAAAAAAGATTCTCCTGTGGTTGCACAATAATGGACAAGAGGCACGTGGAGCTGCTGGAGAAACGGCTCAGGAGTTGTAACTCCTTTTGTGAGTTTTATGAGTGTACTCCTTTTGCAGAACATCCAAGTTCAACATCCACTTCAGACTAGGAAGTTCACAGTTCAGGGGATCTGGCGCCCTCTTCTGGCTTCTGCAGGCATTTTCACTCATGCGCACATACCCATACACACAAAATTAATTTTTAAAAAACCATTAAAACTCCAGGTGTGGGGGCTGGAGAGATGGCTCAGAGGTTAAGAACACTTGCTGCTCTTCCAAAGGTCCTGAGTTCAATTCCCAGCAACCACATGGTGGCTCCGAACCATCTATAGTAAGATCTGGTGGTGTTGTATAAATAATAAATATTTAAAAAAAAAAAAAAACTCCAGGTGTGTTGGCACATGACTTTAATCCTGGAACTCAGATTTTGAGGACATCCTGGTTTACAGAGCAAGTTCCAGGACAGCCAGGGCTACATGGATAAACCCTGTCTTGAAAAACAAAAGAAGGAAGAGGAGAAGAAAAAGAAGAAAAACTCATTTCAAACATATTCAAAGTTTAGGACCAACAAGAAAATAATCCATCATACAGTCACCTGTATGATATGTTTTCCTTCTCTATGAATTTCAAAGAGTCTTTGTAGGCTCCAGGCCTGGCCCCAGCCACACAGCTGTGGACTGAGTCAGTCCCCTTGACTGCGGTCTCTCCATTTACCCAAGGACCTGATTAGGTTGCTTCCATCCAAGAACAGCTGCTCCAGGGCCCTGATGCAACTGCCCCACACAGCCTTGCCCTGGGGAGAGGAAGTCAGAATCAGTGCTTTAGAGGGGGTCTGGCTTTTTCTTCCTGGTGTCTTCAAGTTTTGATGGAAGAGCAGGAAGACCAAATTCTCCCAGACCCTCAAGGTTTGCCCTTCTTACATCCTCTGAGCTGTCCCTTGCTGCTTTTAAACCTTGGATGGATGTCGAGCTCAATGATGGTACTATAATCAGCAACAGCAGCACTAGGGAACTTGCTAAAAACACAAATCAGCTGGGCATGGTGGAGCACACACACCTTTAATCCCAGCCTTTGGGAGGCAGAGGCAGGCTGATCTCTGAGTCCAAGGAAAGCCTGGTCCACAGAGTGAGTTCCAAGATAGTTCCAAGATTTCTACACAGAGAAATCCTGTCTTAAATAAGTTAACTAGCTAAATCAAAACATAAATCCTTAGGTCTGGGTATGTGAACTAGGCTGGCCTCAAACTTGAGATCCTCCTGCCTCTGCTGCCCAAGTTAATCACCACACCTGACTTTTACTTTTTTTGTTTGTAAGGTTTATTTTTTGAAGATTTGTTTTAAGTGTGTGTGTGCGCGCACACTTGTGCACACACATACAGGCTCAAGTATGCCAGAGGAAGGAGTTGGATGTTCTAGAACTGCAGTTACAGATGACTTTTAGCCATCATGTGGGTACTGGGAAGTGAACCCAGGTCCTCTGGATGAGCAGACAGTGCTCTTAGCTGCTGAGGCATCACTCCAGCCCCCACTCTCAGGCTTTCATTGGTTTGCAGTGTTTGTTGTCCTCAGTACTGGTAATGGAAGACACCTTTTGTTTACTGCACAGGGGTTCCACATGGGTCAACCTGGCAGCCCATTTTGGTCACGTTTGATTCACTGCTGAATCCTTAGTACCCTCTCTAAGCCCCTAGGAGTATAGTCAAGTTTCACAGAATGAATGAAAATGTTACCTTGCCTAGGTCACGGCCATCCAGAGGTCAAGATTTTCCCCCTCAGAAGAACAAAGCATCACACCCTCAGCTCTGGCCCAGAGCCCTCGGAGCCATGGGAGTTCCTGGCCCTCTCCCCCACGATGGAGCCCACTGGCAGCACAACCTCAGGGGGCAGCAGGGGGCTCTGCCAGGGCTGGGTCCTCACACAACTCATGTTCAAGGCAGGTGGGAAAGGAGCACCTCCGAAGGAGGGAGCCTGTCTGCACTGGTGGAGGCTAAGGCAGCCAAGGAACTCCCTCCCCCTCACTCTTCCAGCTGTTTATGTACAAGCACCTGCCAGCTGCTAGGCCCAAAACCTGGTCCTTTGTGACTAGTGGAGGGAGTAGAAGGGCAGTAGCCTCTACCGTCTCTGCTGCCTCCGCTGGAGGGCCCATAGCATCTGGATTGACTCTAAATTCCCCATACCCCCTTCTCCATTGTGGGTCCAGAAAAAAAACAAAAAGCATTCTGACCCACAAGGTAAGTGCTCTGCCACTTGGCACCTTCTGGTGGTACTTTTCCTTGGGGCCAGAGCAGAACCCTGGGTCTCTAGAGGCATTTCTTGGTTTCTCACAGTACTGGGGTTGCAGTCACAGAATAGAAACCCAAAAGGCAGGAGTGAGAGAGCTCCCTGGCTGGACCTGAGGAGCAAAGGCTGATGGTGACATGAGTACCCATTCCACGCAAGGGCTATACCCTCCATCTGCCAAAGGGGAGATGGATGCCCAGCAAGGATGACCCACCAGCCAGCACGACCCCTCCCACCCCCAGCTCAGAGGGTGTGCTCCCGGATCTGGTGAGGTGCATGACCCCTCTCGCCCCCAGCGCAGAGGGTGTGCTGCCCGGATCTGGTGAGGTACACAGAGGCTAAGCTCTTAGTGAAGTGTAAAGTGCTAATGCAGAGGGCTTTTATTGAAGGTCTACTGTGTGCCAAGCACCTTCCTGCGCTTCCCACCAGCAAAGGAAGAGGGTGCTAATGAGCCCCCATGTGGAGCCAGGGAGGGAGCTGAGGTGGAGGTAGATGGAGGCAAAGTAGTCCCAGCAGCTGAGGCCTCAGAGAGGACAGGATTCTGAGATCTGGCCAGCTTGAAATCCAAAAGCCGAGGCCTCCCTGTCCCTGAGCCTACTGGGCTCTCAATCTGCAGAGTGGAGTCTCTGGGTCCTTTCACTTTGTGACCTTCAGGGAATGGACTCTGTCTCTGAGTGGTTCTCCCAACCTGGAGTGGGTCCAGAGGGTAAAAGAATGGCTGAGCCCAAGATGACAGGTTTCTGCTGTCTCTGTAGCTCCTGTCAATGCTTGTTGCTCCTTTGGAGTTCCTACTTTGACCTTGTGGGCTAAGGGACAAGGGGGCAAGGAGAAGAAGAAAATCAGACACAGAGATGCCAACAGCTGTGGAGAGGAACAAACACATAGAGAAAATGGAGCCAAAACTAAAATATTGGAGAGAAAGCGATCAAGAGAAGGGGTAGGGGGAGCCAGGCATGGTGGCACACACCTTCGACCCCAGCACTCAGGAGGCAGAGCAGGCAGATCTTTATGAGTTTGAGGCCAGCCTGGTCTACAAAGTGAGTCCAGGACAGCCAAGGCTGCACAGAGAAACCCGAGAGAGAGAGAGAGAGAGAGAGAGAGAGAGCCGAGGGGGAGCAGACAGAGGGAGGAGAAGGAGGGAGCTGGGAAAGTGGAGAAAGCCCAGTCCGTGGACTGGTCCTCTTCCAGGCTCAACTTACCTAGAGCTCATCCCTAGGGTGAGGGTGGAGACTATGCCCACTGCTGCCAGTCAGCTGCAGGTGGGGGCCACGAAGGGTCTTTTGAGAGCCAGTCCAGCTAATAAGGCGGCCACTGTCATCGTCCCAGGGGGACGATGTCTCCGTGTCACTGAGCCACTCAGCGTCTCCCGCATAGTGGGTGGGGGAGGCAAGCAGAGGCCTGGCAGAGAAGGCTTGGAGGTCTCGAGGCCAGAAGTATGCTTTGTACTGGTCACTGTGGGGTGAGAAAAGAAAGCTTAGGTGGACTGATAAAGCTTTTCCTATATTCCACGATGCTAAGCCAGAGCTGGGGCCTTGACTGTCTGCAGTGTCACTGACCTGCCCGCTAGTCCTCATAGCTACTTGAGAAGTAGCACCTTCAGTACCCCATGATGAGGACACTGAGGTTCCATACAGGGGAGTCAGACGATTAAAAACCACATGGACAGGGGCTGAACAAAAGGCTCAGCCTTTAAGATTATTCACTGCTTGTCAGAGACCCAGCACCCACATCTAGTGGCTCTCTACTACCTGTAACTACAGCTCTGTGGGACATGATGCCCTCTTCTGGCCTCTTTGGACACCTACACTCACATACATATATCCACACGCAGATACACATGATTAAAAATTAAAAATTAATCTAAAAATAAATCCACATGGACATAGACAGCACAGTGTTCACATCTAGCTGAGTCTGGCTCCTGAGCAACTCTTGGGGTAACCTAGGTCATGTAGGTGAACCCCATCTCCCTCTCCCCAGCTGCCTAGTAAGCGGTTTTGCAGTGTGGCCCTGGCTAAGATGACCCTGCCCCACCCTGCCCCACCCTGCCCCACCCTGCCCCACCCCACCCCACCCCACCTAGGCCTCACTTTGGGTGCTGATCAAACATGATAGGCAGGAACTCATCCACAGGTATCATGCGGTGCAGAGGCTGGGAGGCTAACAGTTTTCGAGCACCTGCCAGACTCAGGGTGTATGCTAGCGTCCAGTAGGAGTAGCCAGCCACCATCAGACCAGGCAGACCCTCCACAGCCACCTCCTCCTCCGGGTTCACCTGCTTCCGGCCAAGGTAGCTGCAAATGGCATCAAAGGTGGCGGGAGTCACTATAGAGCCTAGGATATGCTGGCCCTTCCCCAGGTATGATAAGGCGAGGCTCTGTAGGGAGAGCTAGCTAGGATCCCAGTGTAAGAAGCAGACCCCAGAGGCACACTCTGTCTCCCCTGCCCCTGAGAGTTAGTCAGCCTACATCAAGTCCCACGAAAGCTTCTGAGCCACCACATCCTCCATCAGCCGTTCCAGTCGCTTCCGGAAGTTGTTCTCAAAGCGCACGTCATCCTCAAACACCACAACCCGGGCCAGGCCCCTGGCAACCACCTATAGCACACGTGACAGGGGAGAGGGCTCTGCAGATCTGAGCTGTCCTGTTCCTGCCGGCCAAGAGCCAGGCCAGCAGACTTCTTGGCTACATGCCACATACCAAGCCCTGGCCATATTGTGTAGCTCCCCTAAAGCTTGCTGGGGGTCCCACTGCCTAGTGACTGAAATCCGTCTTGCTCTGGCATTCAAGGCCCTAAGTTCACACACCCCAGTCTAGCTTACAGAGAGAATCATGGTGACAGTCATGGCTTTTGCTACATTTACTGAATACTATCGTTCTCCCAGGGCTAGTGCAATTGCTCAGCCTCAGAGAAGCACAGCTTCTTGCTTGGTGATCTGAAGCTGGGCAGGGCTTATAAGAGATGCCACAAAATTGCTCAAAAAATTATGAAGAGAAGCTACTTTTCGTAACTATAGAAAACAAGGGAAGAATGTGAAATCAGCTGGGTAAAAGGCCAACTGCATCATTCCCTCAATTTGTTCACAGGTGGTAAATAGAAACAAGATCCCACGCGTGCACAAAGGCACTCTGTCTCCTGGAGGGGCACCCTTGGGGGCCCAGGGCCTTCTGTCCTCCAGCAGTGCCCGCTGCCCCAACCAGAAACCGAGTGCAGAACCAAGCCCCAGGTTTCCAGCTTTCCATTCCTGACACACCTTCCCCCAGAAAAAGTTATCCATGTTCTTCTGCCTGAAAGGCTCTTCTACCTGCCCACCTGACACACAGCACATGCTGTCAGAACCTCCCTCTTCTGATCTCTGCCTCCCTCCAGAGCCTGATATTTCTCTCCTTTAATGAGTGAATGCACACTGACGTTTGGAGGCCAGAAGTCAATGTCAGAATGTCTTTCTCTACTGCTGTCACCTTTATTTTTGTTTGTTTGTTTGTTTGTTTTGTTTTTTGAGACAGAGTTTCTCTGTGTAGCCATGGCTGTCCTGGAACTCACTCACAGACACCTGCCTGCCTCTACCTCTGGAGTACTGAGACTACCTAGCTCACCCTTATTTTTCCCCCCCCCCAATGAAGCAGACTTGGAGTTTATTAAATATATTTTAAAATATTTTTTAAGGAGCTGGAGGAATGTCTCAGCTGCTAAGAGCACTTGATGCCCTTATAAAGGATGCAGGTTCAATTCCCAGCACCCACATGGCAGATCACAACCATCTATAACTCCAGTTCCAGGGGATCTGATTCCCTCCAGGGGCTCTGCACACATGTGATGTACATACAGGCTAAACACCCACACAGAGAAAATAAAAGTAGTTAAAGCATGAGGATTAAGAAAAATGTGGTTTTTAGGAAGAAATACGGCACCTGGTGTGTGGACCTTATTTTTTGAGGCACGGTCACTCAGTGAACTGGGACCTTTCCATTTCATATAGCCTGGCCTGCCAGGCAAACCCACAGGATCTGTTCCCCAGTACTAGGGTTACAAGTGTGATCCACTGTACCCAGCTTTTCTGTAGGCACGGAAATCTGTGTTCAGGTCTCCGAGTCTCCCCAGCAAGCACTTTACCACTGAGCTAGCTCCCACCCCCAGGATCTCTCTCTTGCTGGAATGATACAGACCAGGTCTCCGAGTCCCCCCATGTCGCCAGGAAGAATCCCTTCTAGGGTACAGAGTGCTCCACAGAGACAATAGGATAAACAATGTCACCCGCCACTCAGGGGTGCTGGGTTCAAGGAGGCTTCTTTTCAGACACAGCTTATTCACTCACCCACACAATCAGCTGTGTGCCTGGCACACAGCATGACTAAGACAGACAGACATCCTTTCTGCTGTTCCTGAAGGGTGTGGTCCAGAGGGCAGGCATCCTCACCTCTTCCCAGATGGAGTAGTGGCTGAGGAAACAGCCCACCTCACCCTTGGTCAGTGTGCGGCCTGAGTAGGGGTCCTGGTAGCCAGGGAGCAGGTCCACACCGAGGCGCTTAAGGATACTGCTGTTGAGTGTCCTATGAGGCACAAACATAAGTGGGTGACAAGTGACCACCAGAGCCTCCATCCAGAGGGCCTTTGCCTGTATGTGTTAGAGAAAATCACACTGGAGCCTGGCTTAAAAAAAAGGATCCCGCTTTGTAAGTTCTTCATGTGGCCTGAAGCTGTCATGGACTGGGCTTAGGGAACTCTAACCTCCTTAAGAGAGCCTCAGCAGAATGGACTAATAAAAATCTCCTTGATGGGAAGGCACCATAGGATGGTAGGTACTGTTAGAGACCAGTTGAACCAAGGCCCAGGAAGGGACAGACATTCCACAGGGCAGCCAAGTATAATGGTGCAGGCTTGTAACCCAGGCTCTTGGGAGGCAGAGACAGGCAGACCTTTGTGAGTGTGGGGCCAAACCCAGTCTACGTAGTGAGTCCCAGGCAAGCCACAGCTATGTGAGACTCTGTCTTGAGGGGGAAGGAGGGAAGGAGAGAGGCAGGCACCTGGGTAAACCCAGCTCTTAGGAGACAGAAGCAGAAGGATCAAGAATTCACGGTCATTCTTTTTTCATACAGCAAATTCAAGGCCAAACTTAGCTACATGAGAACCTGTCTCAAAAATGCAAGCCAAGGACCAGTGGGATACCAGTGGTTCAGTGAGATACAGTGTTTGACCCAAAATCCTGAGATTGTGAATTCAATCCTCAGATCCCACAGTAGAAGGAGAGAATGATTCCCAAAACTTGCCCTCTGATCTCCACATGTGTGTGCTCTCATACACACATCACACATACAAATAAATAAACTTAAAATTTTCTAAATAAACCCCAAAAGAATAATGAGGGAATATGACCAAAGCACATTATATTTGTAAAATTGTGAGATATATATATCTGTCTGTCTGTCTATCTATCCATCTATTGAACAAAATCTATTTTATAAAATTGTATATATTTGTAAACAAAAAGACCTGGGGTGTGAAGCAAATGGCAGCTGGCCTATGAGTCGTGTGGCCCTGGTAGCAGTTGTAGCTTTGCCTCTGGATCCCTGTGGAATGCAGCTAGACTTCACCTACATACCATACTCCGGCCCCTCAAGGGCCTAACTCTAACATGGAGAACATCCCTGAGCTGCCTACCCCTTGGAGCATTTTATGGATGTTGGGTCCTTGCCAAGTTTGCTCTGAACCCTCAAGAATCACAAGAGCCAAGCATGCTTATTTATGTATCATTGCATAATGCATGTATCATTTAGAAATGAAGGCGAAAGATGGGAGTCTGTCAGAATTCATACAGCTGTCATGTGACAACTCAACCCAGGTCCTGGGGTCCTCTGCACTGCACCCTTCTCCCTCAGGTGGACTGAGGAAGAATGTCTTTCCTGTTGCCCCTCTCTGGCCTTCCTGAGACAGCAGGACTCAGCCCCTATACTGCATGGATTTTATTTTTAAGATTTATTTTCTTACTATGTATAGAATTTTCTGCCTGCTTGTATGCCTGCAGGCCAGAAGAAGGCACCAAATCTCATTATAGATGGCTATGAGTCACCATGTGGTTGCTGGGAAGTGAACTCAAGGCCTCTGGAAGAGCAGCCAGTGCTCTTAACCTCTGAGCCACCTCTCCAGCCCCTACCTCCTGGATCTTTAAGAACCTCATTCAACCAGTCTGCTTGTCCATTCCTAGGATCTCATGTGAGTCTCATGGTCCCCAAGGGAGACTCACCTGCCATCCACAGCGTCTACCACCTGAGCAGAGATCTCCATCTCCCAGAGAGAGCTCAGCATTCGAGCCCGGCGCTGGGGTCTACGGGCCAGGCTGATGACGAAGACCTGGAGGAAGCCAGGTGAGCCTAAGGAAGGGCTGCATATCCTCCCCACCCCAGTTCCACAGGTTGGAAACTTACTTCATCAAACCCCATTTTGTTGGGCTTCTTTGGGTGCTGAGACACATGAGCTGAGGCCATCATTGGGGGCCCATCCACTGCAAAAGGAAAGAACAAGCCCCCAGCGCCCAGGCATGAGTCCCCATGGCTCCTGGTCATAGACACCCTGGAGTCCAGCCCCAGCTTCATTTCTACCAATGTAGTAGCGCATCTAGGAAGAGAGTTCCCTGTCCTCCAGCCCCGCTGTACAGATCAGAACATTGGGGTGCCACAGGGAAAAGGGCTTACTTACTGTCGAGGTCAGAACAAGGCTGGCACCCAAACTGTGCTTAAGTCTACGCCTAGGAAAGGAGCACTGTGGGAAGGCAACCCTCACCTAGTGCTTCCAAAATCAGGTGGATGAAGTTGTCCTTCTCCTCCTCCAGCCCCTGGTGGGACTGCACTGCCACATTCATGTACCCGTAGCGATGGTCATTGCACACATGTACTGAGACCCCTGCGGAGAGGCTGCGTGAACTGCTGGAGTTGGGCGAGGCTCTCAGCAGACACTGTCAGTGGCTCTGGGACTCAGTGGTGTCACAGTGGTGAGGGCACCGAGCCGCAGCTCCAGCACTTTGTGTCTTCCGTGTCCACACCCGGCAGACTTCACCAGCACTCGTGGACAGGACCATCAGGATCCTTCTGATTCACCAGCTCCCTGAGGGCGCACTGCTTGCTTGAGAGAACTCAATAGACACTCCTAGCCCTCAGTAAGGTTCTCCCCTCACCAGACAGTCTTCACAGCCCTAGCCAAGCCTCAGTCCAGGCCCAAATCCCAGTGCTGCGGCCTCCTCAACCAAGGTGTCCCCCATCACCGCCTTTACTTCATCTTTAGCTCTTTCTTGGGGTTGTTGGGGGAATTTGGTAGGGGGGAGGGGGATTGAGACAGGGTCTCACTTTGTAGCCCTGGCTAGCCTGGAACTCCTGATGTAGACTAGGCTGGCCTTGAACTCACAGAGACTGGGGTTTATCCCACTCACACCCAAACGCTTCCTTTCTAAATAACTTTCTTCTTAACCATAATTATAGGGTGGGAGAGAGGTGGCTGAGCAACTGAGAGCACTGACTGTTCTTCCAGAGGACTGAGTTCAATTCCCAGCAACCACATGGTGACTCACAACCATCTGAAATGGGATCTGATGCCCTCTCTATTTAATTATTTATATTCATTTATTTATTTATTTAGAAGGAGTAATGCCAGGTGTAGTGATGCACACCTTTAATCTCCATGCTCAGGAGGCAGAGGCAGGTGGAGCTTTGAGCTCCAGGCCAGCCTGGTCTACATAATAAGTTCTAGGCTAGCCACTATATATTCCTGGCTAGTCTGGACCTTATGTAGACCAGGCTAAAGACCATGTGTGTAGCATCAGGTTCCCAAGGCTGGCCCTTTCTTCCTGTCCCACCTCACCTGCCCTCTGCTCCAGTCACCTGCTTTCTTACGTTCCTTCCTACCATGGGGCCTTTGCATATGCTGGCCTCCCTGCTTGAAAATACTTTTTCTTGGGGATAGAGAATTGGTTCAGTGGTTAAAAAAGAGCACTTGCTGTTCTTGCAAAGGACCCAGGCTCAGTTCTCAGGCCTGCATGGAGACTCACTTCCTCACTTCCTCAGGCACAAGTATATGGTACACAGACATACGTGCAGGCGAAACACTCACACACCCAAAATAAAATAAATCTTAAAAAACAAAGAAACTACTTCTTACTGTTTAATTTGTTACTGTCTGCCCACACTTTAGAACTCAGCCTGAGTTGTCTTCCTTTCTGAGATCTCTCTAACTAAATCAACTCCACCCTGAGCTTCCAGAAACCTATAATCAAGGTGTCCTTCCTGTCAGTGTTGATTTAGACACTGATTTGAGGTCCTCTGACTAACTGGACCACAGAGTCCAGGAGGGCAGGAACAGCCTGATAAGCACTACCTCCCCAGTGCCTGTCGCCCAGTGGGGGTCCATAAATACCTGCTCCATGAAGCAATACCTGCAGGTGCCAAATGGGGACAGCCAGGAGCCTGTCTCTCCCAGTGGGCGGTGGATTTAAGAAAGGCCCTGACCCAAAGGACCAAGAGGAGTTGACAGGATCAAGTGTGGGGTGGAGAATGGCATGCTAAGCAGGAGGACCAGCAGGTGTAAAGGCCCAGGGGCTCTTCCAAGGGATGCTGAAGGAGGCTGGTCCTCACCCGCAGCCTGGCAGGCATAGGCGAAGACAATGATGTCATCAAAAGGCCAAGTGTAGTTGGGATGAGGTGGGTAGAAGGCAAGCTGGGCTGTTTTGTCAGTCTGCAAGGACACCAGGAAGGTAGAGTGGACCATCGGGACCCGGAAGCAGCCCTGGCGCTGGCGGTTCTTTGTAGGGAAGTATTCAGCTGTGCGGCGGTAGTAGCCCTGAGGGAGAGAACGTCTTGGGCTGGGGCCAAGCCTCTCCTGGCCCAAAGGCCTGAAGCTCCCCCCAGGACCCTGGGCCACCTGAGGCCCTGCCCAGCCTCACCTGTGGAGTGATCCCACACCAAAAGTTGGAATAATAGGTCTGAGAATCCAGCATCGGGGCCACCACTGGCAGTCGCTGCTCTATGAGAAGCCGAAGCGTCTGGTTGTTGGTAAGAATGTTGTCTGTGTCTGCAAACTTTGGGGAAGGAAGATGTCACAGGGATTCCTGACTGAGCGGGAATTCCTTCAGAGTGATTCTGGGCACCCAACACCCAACACCCAACAAAGAGAGGTCTAACCAGGGCCAAAGAGGTGGCTAGAAAGCTAAAGGTGTGTGCTGCTAAGCCTTAGAACCTGAATGCAGTCCCTGGGACCCACATGGTGGACAGAACCAACTCTAGAAAGCTGTCCTCTGACATCCACACACATGCCATGTGCACGAGTACATCCACACAGCCACAGACAAACCAGCACAGTCAGGAGCATTTCTGCTGAGGGCCCATTCTGAGAGGCCAGCTTAGAGAAGATCTAGGAATCTTAGCTGAGATCTAGCTTAGAAGGCAGGTCCAGAGCACTGCTCTGAGGAGACTGGAGAGATGACGCCATCTGGTTTTAAGGGCTGGCAGCTAGCTCTTCCAGAGGGCCTGAGTTTGAAACCCATTGACCATGTGGTGGCTCACTACTGAGTGTAGCTCCATTTCCATTTCCAGGTCCTCTTCTGGCCTCTGTGGGCTGCTTGCACAGACATACATGCAGGCAAAATGCCCACCTTCATTAAAACAAAGAACAAAAATCAACAACAACAACAACAACAAAAAACCCAGGAGGTGGCAGCTCATACTTTTAATCCTAGCACTTGGTAGGCAGAGGCAGAAAGATCTCTGCGTTCAAGGCCAGCCTGTTCTACAGAGAAAGTTCCAGGACATCAGGGCTACACAGAGAAACCCTGTCTTGAAAAACCTACTATACAAACAAACAAACAAACAAATAAAACAAAAACAAATTATTTTTTAAAAATCTATTCTGAGCTCCATTCCAGGGATCCAGGCTCAGTTTATACTCTAGGTAAAAGCTTAGGAATTTAGGTACAGCATATAACCTAAGATCTATCCAAACCTCCAGGCTTAGTATCCAGTATGAGCTTCAATACAGGGGTCCTAGCTCAGTCTCCAAAAGATCCAGCCTAGAGGTGGTTTGGTTATAACTAAGACTTCTGCTGGGGCAGGTACCAACACCTCCCACCTGACCCCAAGCTTCCTCACCAAGATGTAGTCCGCTCCCCAACCCCTGGCAAAGGTCAGTGCTTCCTGCTTCAGCTCCATCAAAAACTGATGCCTTTCTTTGGTCCAGTGCTTGGGACCCTGTTCATCTGGATAGGACCTGAGGTGGAGGGGTGAGATGTTCTCTTGAGAGAGGAGCCTCTCCTCTGCAGGAAGTGGACACAGCCTGCTCTGGGGGCTGTGGCACTGGGGAACGGCTGTTCTCCGTCTCTTCCAGCACCCTTGCCCGCAGGTTGCTACCTGGCCTCCTCCTCAGGCTTCCACACCACGGTCGCATAGTCTCGGCCCACAGCGGCCAGCCATTCTTGCAGCATCTCTGTGGTGTTGTCCACGTTGTGATCCGTGGCACACCTGTGAGCACAGCAGAGAACGACTCAACAGCACAGAAGGGCTGGGCCCCCATGAGCCTCACCTCCAAGTGCCATCCAACACCCTCAAGTCTGGACTGTCTTGAGCGCAATAGAGGAGAGGTATGCTACATCGAAGGTGCCGGAGGACATTCTGTGTGACCTCAGGCAAGCTCCATGCCTCTGTCCTTCACATCCTCCCTTCTAATTTTGTACACTGTACTGGGGGTTTGAACCTAGAGACTTATACATGCCAAACAAGCCCTTGAACACTGAGCCACATCACCAGCCTGAATACACTGGGAAAGATGGAGTCCCTTGACATTAAGGATCACACCTGCCATGTCCCCCCACTTCCTTCTTCATGGTGCTACAAACCAGGCCCTTTCCAGCTTGGAATCTGACAAACCTGTCACTGGCTTTCCTTACCCTGAACTGTAATTAGGACTACTCCGTGCTCTGAGCACCCTGGGAAGTGCTGCGGGCCTGAGCTTTTCCGCTTCCCCTCTGCTGCTGAAGGGGCTCTAGGCATGGAGGTGGGAGGCTTAGCCAAGAGCCCAGGTTTTAGCCAATGCTGCTCCTTTAAGCCAGTTTCCCAGATTGAAGACTAACTACGTGTCAAGTCCTACAGGGGTGGGAACTAATTCCCAAACTGTGGTGACTGTGGGCAGCCTCCCCAGGCCACAGCTCCACCCCCAGCCCAACTTGGGTCTGCTGTGAGGAGCAGTTTATCTCCAGCCTCAGCTTGGGCTCCTCCCTGTTTTAGCTTTTTAAGACAGGGTGCTGTAGTCCGGATCCCAGAGATCTATGGGACCGCACCCTTGGCTGTCAGAAACCAGCAAGCCCCGGTACCCTGAGAGGCTGGCAGTATCACTGTGGAGAGGACTCAGCTTGACGCCCCTGCCCAGCACACAGCCTGGAGCCGAGGGCTCCCGCCACCTGCTCCCTTGAAACCTCCAGTCTGAATGATCCTTTCTATGTCGGGCCCCAGGGGATTCCAGAGGTTCCCGCCTGTTCTACTCCACAGGAGGTAGACCACAGGTCTCCACTGCGGGCTCCGAGTGCTGGGTCCGAAGGAACGGGCCTAACTTAAACCCAGGGAAGCCCAGGATGTCTGGGAAGTCTGGAAAGCCCGAGACAAGTAACGAGCCAAAGGAACGGTGGGTGTCCCTGGGCTGACCCATGGCCTCAGAGGTCTGCTCTTGCCCATCAGGGGTTTAAGAATCCTGCTGAGGGGCTTCAGGCATGTCTGGGAGGGAGGAGCTTGTCTGGGTGGTGTCTGGGCAGGAGTGCTGCGGCCTCCCGGTCAAAGGCCGTCCCGGGTCCTGGGGTTTGATGCCCATATGTGCCCTCCCTTGGATCTCTCACCAGAGGGCCAGCCTGGCCCGGGGATAGTCCAGGCGCTCCAGCGCGCCCAGGTAGTGGGGCAGAGAGTGCTCGGCATTGCGGGCCACGATGGCGAGGACCACGGTGGGCAGCGTCTGCTCCTCAGCACCGGCAGCCCGGAGCTGCGGCCACAGCAGGAGCAGCGGAGGTAGGAGCGGGGCAATTCGCATGGCTGGACTCGATGGCTGTGAAGGCCCCCAGGGCTCCCACAGCAGGGAGGGGGCGGGACGGGCGGGGCATGGAGGCGGGGTCTTGGAGGGGCGTGGCCACTGCAGTGGGCACCCTGTGCCCCTGGTGGGTGCCTGCACGCTCTGCTGCTGTCCTGTTCTTTGCCCAGGCCCTACGTGTTCAGAGTCAGACACCTACTCTAGATGCGTCCCCGGGGCTGCCCTCTGTGGACCTCAAAGGGCGACGGCACGAAAGGGAGGATAGGGGCCGTGGTGGACCTCTTGCACCCTGGACACTCATCTCACAACTGGAATTCCGACACCGCAGATCTCCGGCTCCCTGACCCTCAGCCGTGTACCCGCGAGGTTGCAACCTTCACGGGGAGCCCCAGTTCCCGTCCCGGCTCGGACTGAGTTGCCCTCTGGCGGCCGAAGGCAGGAACTCCAACATACCCTCCAGATGACGCGATGAGCTGGAGAGGGAGCCCCGGCTTGGGGCGGGGACTGGGTGCCGCTGATCTGGGCGCGTCCACGCGTCACCTCCACGCTTCGGCCCTTAAAGAAAGCAAAGCCCACTCCGACTGAGGGTAGGTCTTGGAGATCACCACAAACCCCCTGATGGTGACCCAGACCCCCTCCAAAGTAGGAGATTCAGCCTCCTCTGGGACAGAGTGAATCTTAGGACCTTGTTGAGATGAAAGGGAATCTCCAACCTTTCTTAGGAAAGGGAAAAGGAGCTCACAAAGTTCCAGCTGGATGTATGTCACCAAGCCCGGTCACTTTCCCCGAGTCTCCCGGTTCTCACAGGTAAAACCTGCCTGATGACCCCAAACATGCAGGTTTGCTAGGGGTCCTTGAGCCTCGCTTACTGCATGGAGTCTGAGACAGGCTGGAAGAGGGCCTCTACATTCACCCTCTCTCTGCCTGATCCGTCCGCTTTTCTAGGCTTGCACTTCAGCCTCTTTAGGACACTAGGGAGGGGAAGGTGCACGCTGCTTCTTCTGAGAGGGCGTGGGAGGAGTAAGTTCAGCAAAGAGAGGGCTTACCTGGTGATCAGCATCCTGGGATCCGAACCCTGGAGCTCTAGCCTAGCTCTGGTCACAGCTTCATGCTGGACTATTTCCAGGCCAGTGGTCCTGCAATGAGAAGGGCCCATGGAAGAAGCATCCTGGAGGGAAGCCAGATCTCTCTCTAGACTGACAGTCTCTGACAGAAGCATTCCCAGACCCCATTTAGAGGATTCTCCCTAAAGCTGCCACCATCCTACATATCCAGAGCCAGGGGTGCTGTGGTTAGGATGCTTGTCCCTCCCCCATACTTGAAGACTGACACCTAATCACCCACATCATGGTTCTAACAAGAGAGAGAAGATACTGGGGAGGTGACTCTGAAGAGCACTAGCTGCTCTTAGGAAGAACCAATCCCCCGTGTGCAGATGTCAGCTAACAACAATCTGTAATTCCAGTTTCAAGCGAACCAAAGTCTCTGGCTTCCTCAGGCACCAGGCATGCATATAGTGCACAGACTTACACAGAAGCAAAATAACCATGCACATTAAAAAAAAAAAAAAAAAAAAAAAGTAGGGCTGGAGAGATGGCTCAGTAGTTAAGAGCACTGGCTGTTCTTCAAAAGGTCCTGGGTTCAATTCCCAGCATTCATATGGTGGCTCACAACCATCTATCATGTGATCTAATGCCCTCTTCTGGCATGCAGTTGTACATACAGATAGAGTACTCATACACTGAATAAATCTTTAAAAAATAAAATAAAAAATAGAAAAATTAATTTAAAAGAAGAGGGAGAGGTTGAGCCTGGTGGGTTACATTTGTAATTCTGAATGTCCTGAAGCAGGATAGCTAGCCTGACCTACAGTGAGACTTCATCTAAAAAATAATCAATTAATAAAAAGTGGGGCTAAAAAAAAAATGGCTCAGCAGTTAAGAGCACTGGCTGCCCTTGCAGAGAACCTGGGTTCAATTCCCAGAACCCACATGGAGGCTCACAATCATCTGTAACTCCAGCTCCAGGGGATATAGCGCCCCCTTCTGGCCTCCACAGGCACCAAGCACTGCCTGGTGCATATACACACAAGCAGGCAGAATAGTCAAACACATACAGTAAAATAAATCTTGTTTTGTTTTGTTATTATTGTTCAAGCCCGGGTTTCTCTGTGCAGCCCTGGCTGTCCTGGAACTCACTCTATAGACCAGGCTCCCTCAAACTCTGCCTCTCTCTGCCTCCCGGAGTGCTGGATTTACAGGCCACCGTACCCAGCTAATCTTTTTCTTATTTATTTTTTAATATACATTTTATTTATTTATTATGTATACAATGTTCTGTCTGCATGTACACCTGCATGCCAAAGGAGGGGACCAGATGTCATTTTGGTGGTTGTGAGTCACTGTGTGGTTTCTGGGAAATGAACTCAGGACCTTTGGAAGAACAGACAGTGCTCTTAACCACTGAGCCCTCTCTCCAGCCCCTCCCCTTCCTTTTTAAGGTAGAAATAAAAGTGACCTGAGAGAGGTCCTCAAACCACAAGGTGCCATGTGTGCTGTGCAGCCTTCACCAGACCCTGGATCTTCTGGGCCTTCATCTTGGAGACCCTTGCAGTTTCCAATACTGTGGGCACAAATTTTCTCCAGCTAGGCATAGTGAAGCACCCCTACCTTAGAGCAGGGCAGTCAGGGTTCTAAGATACTCTGTAACTATGTAACAAGACCAGCTTGGGTCAGGCTCGGGGGGCCACATCCATGATCCTGACACAAAATCCAGACCCAGGGGTGCATGTCAGTAACCCAGATCTGGGGGGTTTAGAGGGATTCCTGAAGAAAGACCTGAATTTTGCTCCTCAGCTGGCCTAGCCAACCTCAGGTTCAATAAGACACCAATCTCAAAGACTAAAGTGGAGGGCTGAGGAAAGGGTTCAGTGGGTGAACACTGGCCACACAAGCAGGAGAATCCGAGAACCCTAGAACACGCACCCCAGCTACAGGGATAGAAGAGGCAGAGCCTAGAGAACCCCAGAAGTCCCTGGGCCAGCTAGCCTGCTGTAGGCAGATGCAAATAAATGAGCTGCAGGGCTGGGCTGACACCTGAGGTTGTTTTCTAGCACTGAGCCGTTCCCCCCTCCCCTCAGCCCTTTCTGTTTTGTTTTCCTGAGTGTCAGCCACCATGCCTGCCCCAAGCTGGTCTTGCTAAGTAGTTGCAGAATGACTCAGAAGCAGACATCCTCTGCTTCTGGCTACCCCCTGTAGCCAGGTTTGTGTGTGCACACACAAACCTACGCACACATACACACACACACACACACACACACACACACACACACACAAGGTGAGCTGGGTTTGGTGGCACATGCCTTTAATCCCATAACTCAAGAGGCACAGGCAGGTGGATCTTTGTGATTTCAATGCCAGCCTGGTCTACAAAGCAAATTCCAGGACAGCCAGGACTACACAAATAAACCCTGTCTCTAAAAGCAACAGAACAACAACAATAATGATAATGTGGACAGAAATCAAAGAAGACACAAATACATACACACATTGTTAGTATTTTGGAACACAACCTGCTCCTTTGTTACCCTGCAACCTATGATGTCATGTGTCACCAGCCAGGTGGCCACACCTGGAAGGCGTGGTTACCTTGCCCCTTAAAGGGCTAACCCCGACATGTGGTCGCTCTCTTACACTCTCCTACACACACTCTCTCTCTCTCTCTCCCTCTCTCTCTCTCTCTCTCTCAGTGCCCCCCTTTCTCTTTCCCTTTCTCTCTCCCCACCATGTCCTGCTCCCTCCTTCCCCCTCCCTCCTAATAAACTTCTTGCAGAGAATATCGGTTGTCACCAGCCTCATACTTTTTTAATAACATTACACACATATCTCACACATCCAAATAAATAAAAATATGAAAAGAAAAGAAGGGAGAGAGAAAAAGGAGGGAGGAAAGAAGGAAGACCCCTGTGAAAAGTAAACAAATAAAACATAATTTAGATTTCTGCAACTCACCAGTAACCTAGTTTAAGGGACTTTGTCCTAAGTGCCAAAACAGGCTAATAAATGGTTTTTAGATTCTTTCTTGGCCTAGAGTTTCCTCTTCCCTTGAACACTGACAGTTCCAGCTGCCTCCTTCTTCCCTTCCCTGCCTGGTGTCACCAGTCCTCCAGCCTGTCTTCCCCACAGCTTTCCCATCACTCCTGCCTAGAAAAATTCTAGAGCACGGCAAACACCCAGGCTCCCTCCCAGCCCTGCAACCCTGTCTCTTGTGCCATTTCAAACATCCTCAACTCTGTCCCTGACCAAGGAGCTCCAAGCCGTCTTTGGAGAAAGGAGGCAGCTATGGTTGGGCAACTCTTGTTTATAGCCCCAAATGTTACACTCTTTCCCCAAGCCCCCTCCTCCCAACAGAAGACCCAGCCAGCATAATCCCTTTCCTGTACCCACAACCTCTTCTTCCCACTCATCCTTCCCAATTCCAAAGGACTTTAACTCCCCCAACTTAAAATAAGAGAACAGTGAGATGTCTGGGAGGCCTGAGCAACAACTGTAAGATGGAAAAATCTATCCTTCCCTTCACTACTTGACCCACAACAAGGCTGCCAAGACCAGCATTTTCCAGCCCCTCCCCCAATGGGACTCTTCCTTCCCCAAAAGAGCTGGCCCAAGACCTCAATAGCCTTCCAGTAGCTGACAGACACACCCTCTTTGTTTTCTTTTCTCTTTTTAAGATTTATTTATGTATTATTTGCACAGCATTCTGCCTGCATGTGTGCTTGCACGCCAGAAGAGGGCACCAGAGCTTGATGGTTGTGAGCCACCACATGGTTGCTGGGAATTGAACTCAGGACCTTTGGAAGAACAGCCAGTGTTTATAACCTCTGTGCTATTTCTCCAGTCCACACCCTCTTTCTGAACCCCTAACCTACAGTGCTCCCCATTTGTATCCAAACTCCACCTTCCCAAAATAGAACACAGTCTTCTGCCAAACTTAATACCCTGTCCCTCCCTTCCAGGGGAGGGCACCTCTATATGCCTAGTCCCTGGAAACAGACACCCAGCAAGTGTCTCTGTCCCTGACTGTCTCCTGTACATGGCCACCCATGTGCACCCCACTGGCACCGATCACATGATACCACCATGACCAGGCTTTCCCTCTGGCACTTGCCCTGTCTACAGCCCTTTCTAAAATGTCAGCAGGTGTGACAGTGGAGACCTATAAGCCCAGCTCTTGGGAGGAAGCAGGAGTTTAAGACCCCCATGAGCAAGAGTGGAGCAAGCTCTTGTTGCAGAGAAACAGTCTAAACCTAGCCTTGACTAGTTCCAGGATCTTTTTTGGCTCACAAGTTTGGAAGCTAGAAAGCCAACATGGTGTCTGGTGAGGGCCTGCCCCTCAAGGATGGCTAGGGCTTCTAAGATGGCTCAGTGGGTAAAGGTACTTGCCACTGAGCATGACAACCTGGGTTTGATCCCAGCAACCACACACGGAGAAAGCCAAATCCCGAAAGTTGTCCCCTGACCTCCACACATGCCTTGTATAGGTATGCATGCTCACACACATAAGCAATCAATAAACGTAATAAAGAATGCATTAAAACAGTCGAGCTGGAGAGGTGGCTCAGCGGTTAAGAGCACTGGCTGCTCTTCCAGAGGTCCTGAGTTCAATTCTCAGCAACCACATGGTGGCTCACAACCATCTAAAAAGAGGTCTGGTGCCCTCTTCTGGTGTGCAGGTGTACATGCAGACAGAACCTTATATACATAATAAATAAATAAATCTTAAAAAAAAAAAAAAAGCCAGGCATTGGTGACACACACCTTTAATCCTAGCACTGAGGAGGCAGAGGCAGGTGGATCTCTGTGAGTTCAAGATTAGCTTGGTCTACAGAACTAGTTCCAGGACAGTCAGGGCTACCCAGTGAAATACTATCTTAAACAAACAAACAAACAAACAAAGGCTGGACAAAGTGTTTGTATATCTCATGAGGCTTGATTCAGAGCACTGGAAAATCAAATATGTTCCTTGGCATACACAGCAGGCCCTGTGCTGTCTGCCTGAGAGTTTAAGGCCTCTGCTTTCAACCTGCTCCCATCTTCTACCCCATCCAAACTGGACACTTTACAGTCCCCAGAAACCTCTGTGCTTTGAGACTTTCACACAGTTTTACTTGCTTTCCTGTTCCCTCTGCACGCCTCTTCCTCTTCCTGAAAGGCTGAAGTCTCAGTTTGGGTTCCCTTCCATAGAAAGCTGTTCCTGATATCCTTATCTGGGGGATGCAGCTCCACACAGCGTTCTACGTGAGCCCATCCAGTCAGGAGGTACTTAACCAACACAGGCTCATGAGATGCACTCTAGGGCCTGAGGCTATAAGGCTAAGGCCCCCAAATGCTGGTGAGCAAAAAAGGGAACAGGTACACCCATGAATGTATAAGTCCAAGACATGGTGAATGTGATTAACAAACGGCACCGCCTAAGGTGCAGCCATGGGTGAGTGGGCAAAAGGTCCTGAGAGTCAGTGTGGCCACAGCAAAGGGAAGAAACAGTGTGGGAAGAGGGGAGGTCAGACATATAGTCATGGTCTACTCAGCCAGAGCTGAGAATCTGACCTTTTTTTTTTTTTTTCTTTTGAGAGAAGGTCTCATTATGCAGTCTTGGCTAGCCTGGAACTCACTATGTAGATCAGGCTGGCCTTGATGTGCCTGCCTCTGTCTTCCCAGGGCTGCGATCAAAGGTGTGTGCCATTATGCCTGTTTTTCAGTTTGGTTTTGTTTTTTACTTTTCAGTTATTGTTGCTGCTGCTGTTTGTGTGCGCAGGAACATGAATGCTGTAGTGCCCGTTTGGAGGCCAAAGGACAGCTTACAGAGTGGAGTCTCTCCTACCACTGCGGTTCTGGAGAAGGAGCTCTCAGACTTCTGTGGCAAATGCTTTTGTCTACTATGGAACTGTTTTCAGTGGGTCCAACCAAGCCTAGAGCCTCATTCACACCAAGCATGTACTCTACCACTGAGCTGGTCCTGGGTTGTTTTTGTTTGTTTTGAGATAAGATCTGACAAAGTAGCTCTGCTTTTAGATAAATAAGGCTGACCTAAAGCTCAGAGATCCTTCTAGGCCAAGCCTGACATCCTGGATTGTTTTTTAATGCAATAGGAATTAAGAAAACATTATGGGAGTCAGCAGAAGTATTACATTTTCTCTACTAAACAGATTGCTCTAAACTGGGGGGTGGGGGGTGGCATACACCATTAATCCCAGCACTTCAGAGGCAGAGCCAGACAGCTCTCAACCATCCATAATGGAATCTGATTCCTTCTTCTAGCGTGCATGAAGACAGAGCACTCATGTATATAAAATAAATAAGTATTTTTTTTTAAAAAAAAAAAAGATTGCTGAGCTAGAAAGATGGCTCAATAGTTAAAAGCCCATCTTCTGGCTTCACAGGGCACCACATACACATGGTAGACAAACATACAAGTAGTTATACACATAAAATAAAAATAAATAAATCTAAAAAAAAATCATTACAAGCCAGTCTCAAACCTACAACCCTAGAACCTGGCTAGGCTCAGACAAGAGAATTGCTTTGAGTTTGAGGCTAGCTGGGCTACGAAATAAGTTCTAGAAAGCCTAATAGCCTGGGTAACAGTGTGAGATTATATCCAAAGAAAAAGAGAGGGAGGGAGAGAGAGATGGAAGGAGGGGGCAGAGGCTGATCTGCCCTGGGATGTAACTCAATGGTAGAGTGCTTGCAAAAGGTCCTGGGTTCAATTTCCAGTCCAGAGGTCAGCAGACATGTCAAGTGTGGACACAACAGGATTGATCTGGAGTTCATGGCCATCCTTAGAAACATAAAGAGTTCCAAGTTAGCCTAGACTACATGAGACCTTGTTTTTAAAAAATAAAAATGAAAACAAACAACAACAACAACAAAAACCCACAAAAAAACTAGAGCTGACTTGGGAGGCAGAGAGAGGATAGCCACAAGTTCAAGAATAGCCTGGTCTATAGGTCATCAAGCGCTGGGCCAGCTAAGGATACATGGTAAGTCCCCTCTCAAAACAAACAAAATGTTTATGTGGTGGTGCATGCCTGTAATCCCAGCACTTCAAAGGAGGACTGTTGAAGCCATCCTGGTCTACACAGTGACATTCTATCAAAGAGACAAGAAACTAGGACCAATGAGGTGGCAGGCAAAGTGTGTGTCACCAAGCCCGATGGCCTGAATTGGGTTCCTACAGTCCACATGATGGAAGTAGAGGAGAAACAGGCACAGATTGTCTTGTGATCACTACATCATTGTGCATGGGAATGCACGCACGTGCGCGCACACACACACACACAAATGAAATCTTTTAAAATAACTAAAACAAGCTGAGCGGTGGTGATGAGTGCTTTAGTCTCAGCATTTGGGAGACAGATCTTTGTGAGTTCGAGGCCACCTGGTCTAACAACTGAGTTCCAGGACAGCCAGGGCTATGTAGAGAGTCCCTGTCTCAAAAAAAATAAAGTAAGCCAAAAAAAATTGTTCTGGCTAAGCATGATAGCACACTCCTTTAATCCCATGACTCAGGAGACAGGCAGTCAGATCTCTGTGAGTTTGAGGCCAGCTTGGTCTATGTAGTGAGTTCCAGGACAGCCAGCGTACATAATGACCCCATCTCAAGGGCATGAGACCCTATCTCAAAAACCACAGCCACAAAATGACATCGCTCTACCTGTAGCTTAGATGGCAGACGTGAGGGTTCCTGGCACAGAAGAAACAAGTCTGGTGAGCAGAAGTGAGGTGGGGGAAGCTCCTGGCCTTATAGGTTGGATGTGGCAGACTGAGGACAAGGAGAGCTTTTGTGGTGGGCTTGGATGGGGTGGGCTAGGTGCTGAGTGGGTGAGACCTAAGGAAAATCAGGCTGATTAGGAAAACCTTATTCCTCTGAGCTGCCTTATTTTGAGCTGCCTTTTAGACCTCCAAGTAAAAAAATAAAAACAAAACAAAAAGCATGTAAGAGAACCTTTGCTCTGACTTCCACCACGGGGACCCACTTTCCCATTCATCTTCCTATCCCCAGGTTAGGCAGAGCCTAGGGACAACGTAGGCCCTCCACAGATGTATGGTAAGCTCCCTAACGGTGAAATCACCAAGTGCCAGCTCACCCACCTGCACTTTTCTGGCCCCTAAAATAACCATGAGATATATTCTTCTGTTAAGGATCTGTTAAGGCAGGATCTTACCATGTAGCTCTGGCTGTCCTGGAACTCACTAGTCAGGCCAGGTTGGCCTTGAAGTCTCAGAAATCCACCAAGTACCGGGATTAAAGTCGTCCCCAGCTACGACCACCCAGCGGAGATGCACTTCTTAAAGTGATGTGGACTAAGTTCCCGGAGGTTTTGAAGTTGTAGTGCTCATTAAAGCAAGGTCCTTACACCTGTAGCTTAGGCCTCACCTATGCAAATGCCAGCTGGGCATGGTAGTTCACACCGATCATCCCAGCAGCTGTCAGGACTCTTAATGAACCAAGGCTGTCACAAGTTCAAGGCCAGTCAGGGTTATAAGACCCTATCTCAACATTCCATTCTCCTTCTTTCCCTCAAAATAAAAAATCTGAAATTTGTGGTACAGGACTGTAAACTTAGCACTCTAAAGGCTAAAGTAGGACCATGTGTCTTAGGTCAGTGTGGGCTACACGGTGAGTTTCATCCAATCTTCATAATATGACCTTACCTTATTTTTTTTTTTAAAGCTAGTATCATCCCATCCCCATGCCTAGGAAGTCTGAAGTTCTGGGAGTGGAGTAAAATAAACTGTTTCCTTTAACTTTTTTCCCTCCTTTTTTGGAGATAGAGTCTTACTATGTACTCTAGAACAACCAGAGCTCCAGATCCTGCTACCTTAGACTCACAAGTTCTGGAGTTATGGGTTTTTGCTACCACATCTGGCTTTTTTCTTAGGGTTCTGGACATCAAACCTGGAGACTCACGCTGGCTGTATCACTGACCTGCACCCCTAAGCCATCTCTTTTGATGAAAAGTTCCAGGTCATTCCACCTCAGGCTGAGCTTGGAACTGCTGTTGCATGTATACTGAGTCTTCTATGTCAGGTACCGGAAAGTGCCTGGGAAACAGTTGCTACTGGAGCCCAACTGGCTGAGAAGGATCTAGACCAGATGCGACCAATGCTCTCAGGGTTTCTGCCCCTCAGCATTCTTGTGCCCCTCAACCACTGTAGTTCTGCACAAAACCATGTGGTGGCGCCAATATCCCAGGGCTTCAATTGGCTATCCTCAGCTGGAGACGCTGGGAGAACTGCCCCCTTCCCTCAGGGTCCACATCCTACTGAGAACCTGAGCTCTAAGGCTGGTGCCCATGGGCACATCCTTTACCAGGGAGAAAAGCTGACACCAGAAAAGCATACCAGCCAAAAGCTGATACACTCATATTGGAAGGGTTTAACTCTTGAGGGTTAGGGAGGTGAGCCAGACAGGACCCACTGGTCACAGAAGAGTTAGGGGTGCCAGGCCTCTTGGAGGCAAATAGCTTGTATTGGTACCCCTTGCCCAATGGAGTCTTGCCACATGCCTCTTTTAGCCTTCTACCTACGCTGTTCAACTTGTCTGTCCTGGACCTAAGTACTGCTTCCCTGCCGAGTATAGGGGCAGCCTGGAGGTAGTGCAGGGCTGGAGATGGGAACTCAAAGCAGGAAAGATGCCTGGACGGAGGAGCTCTTACCAGCTGTCAGCTTCCCGGTTCTTGGGCTCTTGGGTTGGAGGCTCCCTGGGCTCCTGTCTCGCTCTGTGGTCACAGAAGCCCACGATCCTGGCCAGGGGATGAGCCTTCACCCTGTTCTTGGTTCTGGGTGCAGTTCAACAGAACAGGAGACCAGCTTGGGTACCATCCTCACCTCTGGTTTCAAGCCCAGTTCCAAGAATACCCAGGGGAGAGCAGACTTCTCCACCTTAGGTTCCCCTGTCCTTCATCTGTCTTATTTGAGGGAAGACTGAGACCCCAGATCCCAACTGCAGACACTCTTGCCCAGTCTGTTTAAACTTAGCATACTCTGGCTTCTGCTGTACAAACTAGCCCACACCCCTCCTGTCTCAGGGTATCCACCCAACACCCACATGCTCTGGAGACCCACCCTCTCTCTGTTGACTATGCCTTCCTCTTTGAGGACCCCCAGATGTGGTTCTGTCCTCTGAGGTTCTGCCTCTGCTCTTAGGAAGCTGGGGCTAGGCCAGCTGTTTTCCCTAAGCAGCCAGCTGTTTTGCCCATCGGAAAGTAGCCCTGGCTCCTCTGCTAAAATCGTTTCTAGGTTGCAGCGTGGCAGCCCTACTGAGCCAGGGCCTGGGAGTGGTTAACTCCTCGGGTCCGGAAAGCAGCTTCTGCCTTCCAGCTTTCTGCATTCCCCAGACTCAGCAGACTTCTAGAGACCCCAAGAAGGCTAACACCTCAACAACTGCCATTCCCCTCCCCAAAGTCCCGAAGGTAAACCTAAGTGAGGTTCAAGGGATTAATGTCATCAACCCCCATTGAGAATAATTACAATAATAACAGCTGTCTTTAAGGCTAACACTTGTTAGCCTTAAAGCCACCAGGAGTCTTTAAATGCCTCAGTGATTCATTTGACTTTGACAACTCTGTGGCATGGGTATTTTGTTTGTTTTGTTTTGATTTCCAGACACGGTCTCTTTGTGTAGCTTTGGCTGGAACTCACTCTGTAGAGCAGGCTATTCTGGAACTCACAGAGATCCACCTGCCTCTCTGCCTCTGCTTCCCGAGTGCTGGCATTACAGGCTTGTGCCACCACCCATGGGTGAGTGTGTATTCAGAGAAAAGGAGGAAACTTAAGATGTGAAGAACCTCTATTACCAAGGGTCGGCTAAATGCTGGTCAGCCCTAGTGGCTCTGGACCAGCTCTCAGCACTGGTGTTTAAGTTTTCCTGAGCTCTCCTTCCTAGGTCTGGGCTTGGGAGCCCCATCTGTGAAATGAGGAAACCGACAGAGTTAACACCACTAGCCCCAGTAAAGAGTTGGGCCAAGGCACCTTCCAAGTATTTATTAGCGATTACTCCTCCTGGTGGCTGCGGTTGGCCTGGGCGAAGGGCCTGGCTTCACCGCCTCCTGGCTGCCTGCCTTCAGGGGTTAGTGACTACCTCTTAGCCTGTTTCCAGAGCTGGAAAATGGAGACAAGAATAACTGTCCTTGGTTTTGACAATGCAGGTGTCCACAACCCCACTGGGGACTGATGTGAAGTGTCCTGTCTTACCGATGTTGACCGTTGACCACAATTAGTAAGGGGCAGAGAGCCCTTCCACCATGGGTGCCTCCGGGCTCAAAGTGGAGCTAGGAGGTGGGAGAGCTGTCATCACTGGTTCAGGAGTCCCTACGCAGAAAAAGCAGGCTGCAGATCACAGAACCATCACCTGTGTGGAGGGGTTCAGCCTGTCTCTGGAGCTTCCACGGCCTGTTTTAACTCTGCACCCCTGTGCCTTTCTCCAGAGAATGGAACCTGGTCTGGGGAAAGGGCCAAGGAAATAGGGACAATCCCAAGGCTAAAATGGCTCAGAAGGTTTCTGGGCTGCGGCTGGGTGGGATTTCAGGGTCTGGGAACGACCCCTCAGGATGCAGTGACCCGTGTTCTCCCCTTTTGTCCCATCCTCCCTGCCCACCATGGGTCAGTTCCCTGGTCCCAGCCTAGACATCTGGAACTGGGGCAGACAAAGGGCTGCGGGAAGGGACAATAACCTTCTGTCCATTTTCAGATGCTGGGCCAGGCCTGGCCAGGGCTGGGGGCCGGAGCCCCGGCGAGGCGGTGCCAGGCCCCCCGCGGGCAGTGGACAATGTTGGCAGTGATGGAGAGGAGGCATTTCAAAGCGTTTTGTTCCTCCTGACCCCCTCCCCTCCACACATCTCGCCCCAGCTCGGGGTGAGGCCCCAGCCCCACCCCCAGCCACCCAGGCCTTGCTCTGGGCGGCTTGGGGACTGGCCACATTCTTGACCTCAGGGGAAAAGTTTAGACTCTTTGCGCCCTGGGCAACAATAACAGTGTCACAGACCTGATTTAGGAGCAGCACTTACCATCACAAAGCCACAGACAAAGGGCTGAGGCTGAGAACGCGCTGGCCTCAGAGTCTATTCCACCGCCAGGCTCTGTTCACTTCTCTCCCAGGTTCCGCCCAGGCCCACTCTGTGCCAGGCATGGACACACCTGGGAGGACCTGAGGCGGAGGGAAGGAAGGGACAGAATACAACTGTGAATGAAGGAGTTTTGGGAGTCATCTCTTACTCTCCCATGAAACTGTTAAGTGACCCTGGATGGGTCTTTCCCCACTCCAGGCCTCAGTTTCCCTATATGTGATAGCTAAATAAATAGAGCACTGGCAAAGCTGGAGCCTGTCCTTGTGGCAGGAGGGTTTCGATAACGGTGATGGCTAGGTGGGGAAGGTACACCTGTCATGCCAGCCAGAGACCAGCCTGGGCAACACAGTGAGAGAGTCTGTAAAGATGCCCTGGTGGAGAGAGGAAAGGAGTCCCTGCTGCCCTTCAGCACTTCCAGGTGCCAGGCTTACTGAGTCCTCACCAAGTTTCACCCCCTTTGATCAGTTAAGCGCCAATCAACCTTATAAAGCAGGTGTATCATTAACTCTGCTTTAAGGCTGATAAACTGAGGCTTAAAGTGACTTGCCCAGGGCCAGGCTCCTCACTGCCCTAGTGAGAAGAAGTGAGGAGGCAGCTGGCCTCTCATGAGCTGGGGTGGAAGGGCCTCCCCTCCCAACAGAAGGCCATGAATAAATAAATATTTGATTATTCCCAGGGGGAATTCCACCCCCCAGAGCAGGTGCCTTTAAAAATCTGGATTGATTCTTGTCTATGAGCAGAGGTTGGCCGGGGTGGACACCCAGATGTAAGGCACTGGACACAATGACACTCCCCTCATGCACACACCTAGAAGAGGTGGTCATTTAAAAGTTTGTGGAACCACTTTAGGCTATGCGTCTGTACGATGCTCATTTGGCGAACTTCGCTGAAGGCCGCGGAACAGTTCCTGGAGCAGTGAAGGGAGCCCTCCTGGCCAGGGCCCGTGGCCAGAGGCATCTCACCTCCCACTGCTCACCACTGGGACAGGGTGCCATGCCACTAGCTTTCCTTTCCATGAAGTGGCCGGGTTAGGGTTAGACCCCGAGAGCAAAGGAGTCCCTAGGATCTGTTACAGCAAGACCAGCTATGACTTCAGGGGGAAAGTCAGGAGAGAGGAGTGCCCCTCGATACCAGCAAGGGTGTCTGCAGCCCTGACAGAAAGCAAAGAGGCCTGAAGCCTTGTGCAGACTCCTCTTCTACCCCTAACTCTAGCCTCGAATCCACAGGAACTGAGCGATATAAGTGGGCAGGAAAAGAGAGGCGGCAGAGAGACAGCAGCCACACTGACACCCTCCATGTCAGTGCCTGCTAGTCACCTGTGCTGAACTGCTTCCCTTTTCTGAACTCACCCCACAAATTATTCACTCATTCATTCATGCATTTATTCACTTATTGGCAGGGTCTCGTGTAGCCAGTTTAGCCGTAAGTACCCTATCTAGTCAAGGCTGGCCTTGAACTCTTGATCCTCTTCCTGCCTCTACTTCTCAAGTGCTGGGATTACAGACATGAACTACCATATCCCAGCTACTTTTAGAATGTTAAATGTGATTCAGTCAAATAAAATAGTAGGCTGGTTGTGGCAGTGTATTTCTTTAATCACAGCACTTGGGAGACACAGGTAGATGGATTTCTAAAAGCTCCAGGTGAGTTTGAGGCTAGCTAGCCTGGACAACATGATGATCTCTGTCTCAAAAAAAAAAAAAAGTTGGCTCAGAATCCGGGGCCTTCCATCCCAGCATCCATCCCCTCTTCCCTGCTTCATTCCAAGAACAGTTTCTCCAAGTCCTATCCTGTCCTTTAACACCTCTCCCCCAAACACCGCTGACACATATCAGTCACAGACCATCCAAAGAGAAAATGCCACCACTCTAGGAGACACAGAGAGTTTATGGAGGCCCTAAGCAAAAGACAGCCTTCCCTCCCTGCCTGGCTTAAGAACAGAGGAACACTCACCGGGCAGATCATCTGGGTTCCCTGAAGCCCAGAAGTGGATAGCCCTGCTGGGTGCTTAGGTACAAGATGCCTGCCTGCCCAGCTCTTACTCTGGAGGGCTGGCCAGGCAGCCCATCCCAGGCCCAGACTTTCTTGGCATCTTTAGGCAGGAAGGGCACTGCCTCAGGGTTGGGAAGAACAAGGAACGACATCCATCCTAAGCAAAGGTATCTCCCAGAGAGCTTGACCTAACCCTCAGCTCACTTTCCTCTGGACATTGTGAGATGAAGGTCCAGGAAGCCAGGGATCCAGAAAAACCAGCAGAGGCTAATAGAGAGGTTGATCTGACCCAGACCCCTTCCCCACCCCCACTCCAAGGCCAGGGAGGCCCACATAGAGGTGTTTGCTTTTCCTGTCTCCACACTGGTTCCATTCAGAGTGGCCCACCCCACCCCAGGCCAGCAGCCAAGGAAGCCGTGCACCAGGGAGAGAGATCACTGCCCAACCTCCCTTCTATCCGTGTTGTGCTGTGTGAACATGGACATGGCACGGCAGCCACAAGGGCCTCCCAGTTTCATGGTGCACTGGGGAGAGGAGAAAAGAGAAAAAAGACCAGGTAGAGGAGAGGAAAGAAATATATGGAAAAGAAGTTGAGAAAGACGAGGAGCACACATAAAGTGCTGGGAAATGGAGCTTCTGAGGAGGCCCTGGGCATACAGTCAGCATGAGCAGCCGCTGGGCAGAGGGCCGGGTCAGCTGGCAGAGGCTTGGTCCAGAACCTCACTGTCTTGCTTTGTGCTGAGACACTGATGCTGGGATAACCACTTGAAAGCAAGCATCTTCTTCATCTCATCTCTGGACCAGGGGTCCAGGAGGGGTCCAGACCTAGTCTGGGGGTAGGGAAAAGCGGGTGAAAAGTTTCCCCAAGTCAGGAGGCCATGGAAGAGGCATCTCAGGGGTCTTGCTCTTTGCTCTCTCTGACTGTCATGTTGGTACATAAAGGGGGTAGAAAGGTCAGGCGTGCCCTTTCAAGCCCGTGAGAAAAACTCTGCCCATTTCCCTAATCCATATTTATTGGTGTGAGACATTGGGGTGGGAGAAAGCCCCTGCCCCACCCACAGCCCCAGCCAGGCCAGGTTAGCACTAAGAACAGGCTCCATGTTACCCAAATCCTACTCTTTGTCTCTAGATCGGCTCCAGAGTTTCCCCCATCCCAAGTCCCCGTTGAGGTTGCCAAGCAACCATGGAAGGGTAGCTGAGATATTTTCTTTATTACAAGCAAAGGCAAGACAGAATTGTGGTCCCAGAGCGGGGCAGAGGGTGCTGACAGTGAGGGCACCCTGTACTCTGGAGGGCCTACACTGTCCCGATGTGCTCTGAGCATTGGCATCGAAGAGATAGGACCCCAGAGTCCATTTGAAGCAAGAAGAAAGAACTGAGTGGTGGGAGGTGGACGGGGCTGGCAGCCATCATTCCAGGCTGAACATGACAAGGCAACGTCCAGGAGACCCAGGCCTTCCTGTTGCCACCAGCTGTGCTCTCTGCATTAAGTCATTTTCTTTCTTTGGTCCTATGTTTTCTCCTTCATAAAATGGGAGTACTATTGTATATTATCTCATTTAACCCTCATGAAAATTCGATGAAACATAATTTTCCCCCTCCCTTTTACTGGTTAGGAAACAGGCTCAAAGATGTGGCACCATGCGCCTAGCTGGTAAGGCAAGGTGCAGTCCCTCAGCCTGACTAGTGTTGGCTAACAGCTTTGCTGAGAGCTAAGTTACACATCGCACAATTTGCTTGCCTAGAGTGTACATTTCAATGTTTGCATATTCAGTTCTGCATGTAAAACTACGACTTATTTTATCTTTTTTATTTTTTTGTTTTTCCCAAGACAGGCTTTCTCTGTGAATCCCTGGCTGTCCTGGAACTCACTCTGTAGTCCAGGCTGGCCTTAAACTCTGAGATCTGCCTGCCTCTGCCTCCCGAGTGTTGGGATTAAAGGCACGTGCCACCCACCACTGCCTGGCTTATTTTATTCTTCTATCATTCTTTCTAAAAAGAATTCCCTCCCCCTCCCCCATTCCCAAGATGGACATACAACACAGTGTAGTGCTGGAATCAGCATTCTACCTATGTGACCCTATATGTAATTCCTAGTTACACGCACTTAAACAAACAAACAAACAAAAAAACAAACACAAAGCCAAAGAACTCATGCAATGCTTGTTTAATCTTGATCTAGGTACCCATTAAGGAGAAAATGCTCTTCTAGGTGCTGGGGATAGAGTGGTGAGAA